TTCGACGTAGTGTAAATTTATTCATGGATAATCGGATTGATCGTGGAATTGAAGTATTACGCCTGGATACAAGAGAGAAAGAGAGGAGAGAGAGGAAAAATTCAATCAAAAGCTTACTCACCTGCGTTGCTTTTTTATGTCAAAAAAACACAAATACATTTCGGGTCTTAGCGCCTTCGCGTTTTGACTGTTTTGACCAGAGACAAATACTATTTTTGAACTGCGGATGCGGAGGCGGGACTTCTTACTACGGGTTTGTACTAACCGTATTGATAATATGCACCGCTCTTTTCATGACGTGGGCGATGTTTTACAAATGAGTACTACTCACAATACAAAATTACATTGCAAATGCAAAAGAAAAGGATGAGTCCTCAACCTCAACTGTCAGTAAAGTTTACGCTATGGATTTAAATAAATTATCATCATCTCGCGATAGTCAATCAAGTTTTGTGGCCTTGGCGTGAACCCTGAACATCCTCCTCTAGTTTCGTTTATCAGTAGTGTCAAGTTTAATGTTTACTGTCAATTTCAATTTGTGTTTGTTGACTGCTCTGATGTGATGGAATTTAACTTTGCACCATGACATTGGATTTCAGCAACTATTTTTGGGTAAAACGCACCAGATTTTATTCACTTTCCGCTCTCTCCATTCTCAAATAACTCTCAAATTGTCTCAGTGTCGTGGATTCAAAAATTTCTCTCCCAATATTCTTCTGTAATCATGTTCATGACACAGGTATATTGTTTATTGTTCATGACTCGCCTTATATTGATCTAGCCAAACTTCATAGCTGCTTCATTGGAATATAACTAGCTAATATTTTTGAGAATTGTTTTACTAGTTGACCTCTGTAGTTGTAGAGAACTAATGAAAAGCAACCGTTACCTGAAAAAGGTATGTAACAGCATGAAGCTATCAGACAAATCGGCGTGTATGTCAAAGAAGGGGTGGGTCTCTTTCAATATCTTAGTGATAAATCTCTATGTAAGTATTCTCAGAGATTCTTAGTGTTTCGTGTACTACTTCTTGCATTGCGTTTGTGACTAACTTAGTCAACTAATGGTGAGCGAAAGAAGTATTGGACAATGAATGTAATCCAAACTTTAACCTCCAATCATTCCGTTTTTCTTAATCAATGTGTAAGGTTTTGGGCAACTTTTGTGCGCTTTTCTCTTTGAATTCACTGTTTACTTTTGTTAGATTTACTTATGATTTTGGTGTGCCTCATATTTTATGAAGGAGGAGCTGAAGAGAAGAATTAATTATCCAATTTAGTAAATACATTCTCTGTATTTTAAATCAATATCCTGCAACCGAACTTGTACATAGCATGCATTTTAATCAAATTAAAACGATTTGGAGTAATGACAAATACTTACACCAGTAGATTGAATGTTTGGATCCTTTCGCCCTACAGACTTTCATCTGGTTTTTTTATTCAAAAGCTATGTTCTCTTCTTTTGGAAAACGCTGTGGAATTCTAACCTATAAATGATTCTCTGGAAACAAATGAAAATTCCAAGCTTCTCACCCTCAATTAAAGGATGCTTTGACCTGTCAAGAGACGCGTTGGTCTGTATGGCCAGACCTTTTTGTTCGATGAATTCAAACCTCCCAAGTCATGATTAATGAGTCAGAACGTTTATGATATGCAAGTGGACCATGTCCAAGTGACTTGTAACTTATCAGCAGACCAATTACTTACCTACTCAAAGAATTTTTTTTGTCAGGTGAGAAGACTAAACTGAGATAGAGTGAAATTACATGATTGGATGACTATGTCAATCAGACAACTGGCCCGGAGATCGCAAGCTCTCTATGGGCGAAATAACTGACCAGCTGAAAGAACCTCCTCACTGGCTGGCAACCTGTTGATTATTCGGTTTGACGAAGGGTTTTGCAATCTTGTTGCTTGTTGTTCAAAGACACAGCTGTCCATTCGCCAAGTTCCATTCTATCTTGGTTAAGTCTTCTCCACCAGACAAGCACATTTTATCAATAATCGCCCTGATGGAGGCATCTTTTGTCTAATTTTTAGCCTCGCATGAAATTTGCATCCCCCATTCAATCTGCATGTTTTGTATTGCTCTGAAATAGAGCTATGTCCTATGAAATTATGCATTGAGTAGGTACCTATTTTAATACAAATACAATCTTACAAATTAAATCATTGAGCTGTAACTCCAACCAAAGTCATTTTGTCATGATTTTAAATGTTGAAGGAAAGTACTCAATATTTTGTGTATGGCAGCAATTTTTTGGCTGAATGTTACTGGATGAAATGTCCAGCCATTGAAAAATTTTATTTAAAAAGTAGGTGAGCCTTGATATCTTTAAAACTAAAACTACGTTCCTGTATGAACAGAAATTAAATTGCGAACTGCAACAATAAAAATCAAATAAAAAAGGTAGAAGATAAGTAGGTCTCTTAAGTAAGCAAAGCACCCATGTAGAATTTTGGAGAGTGTTCATTATCATTGTTAGATATCTATTCAAGTCTGATTACAATATTATGCAAATTAAAGTGATGGAGTCTCGAAGAAAAAATTCTCAATCTTTTTGTGTCTGGCTTTCCTGTCGATATTAGAAGGCTCCTGTCATCCGACCATTCATCGTTTTAATCATTCACTCTCTTAATAATTTTCCCTTTTTTTTCTTTTTTTTTACTTCTTTCAGGGTGATAAGAACAATGGCTTTGATGTGCTGTACCACAACATGAAATATGGTGCACTTGCAACAAAGGAATTGGCAGATTTCTTCCGAGAACGGTAAAATATCATGATACTATCATTCTTTAATGTCATCTCAGTTTTGACAGTGGTGCAGAATATGCTGGAGCACACGAACCTTGGAACCTAAGAAGCTTTAATAAACCTGTAACCTCGAGAAGAAACTTACTTTGACCAAAAAGTTGTTTTTACATGTTTTTGTATCTAGAAAAAAGTGAGAAAATAAAAGAGACACTTGCTGATTATTTTGACCAAAGTTTAATTACTTCTAATAGTTTTTGCGAAGTGACAAAATTTTGAGGCTGAGACTGCGACTAAATTTTTGCTCTCTTAAGAACTTTCCGCAACCATGGGTTCTGGCTCATACTCCCAGTCGGTCTGTTTTCTGGGCTCTATGTTCCAGGAAGAGTAATTATTCTTTTTTTTTACTTTCTCTCAGAAGATTCAGTCATCATGCTTCTCATCTATGCACCAACCAAATTTTTTGAAAATGTACTCACATCATCTGAAATATCTTCTCTAAATCTTGATTTAATTTTTTCCTGTTTAGTTGTTTCTAATGCTTTTTTGGTTTTTCACTTTTTTTCCAGGTGTAATATTGAAGAAAATAATTCAAAGCTACTAAATAAACTAGCAAAACAAGCGGGAAGTAGCTCGGTAAATGGAACTTTTGCTCCACTATGGCAAGTACTACGAGCAACAGTAGAAAAACTAGCATCATATCATTTTCAGATGGTTCAAAGAGTATCAGAATTAGTGAAAGAAGTTTCAAAATACGGAGATGAACTTCATAAGAAACATAAGCTGGTAAGTCGTCAGTTTCCATTTTTCCTCCACTTTTTCTTTTTTATCATTATTATCATTATTTTGAAAGCTTGAACAATCTCTTCTCAGAAGATGTCATCAAAACTGTTGTAAAATAAATTAATAATTCATTAAACAAAATTAGTGCACTCGGGTGTAGCACATACAACTCTTCTGTTTCAATTGTACTCTGTTGTCTGCTGTCAACTTTTTGAAATTTCTTTTCAGTTGATTATTAAGGATTATTTGATCCATATTTAGCGATGTATCTCTTCAACAAACTTTGCTTGGTTAATATGTTCACTTACTAACTTTTTTTTTCCTGTTCCTCAAGGTCAAAGATGAACAAAGTGGAACATCTGAAGTTGTTCAAGCAATCCAATCAACAACTTTAACATTGCAGAAGATGAAAGAAGTCTATTTACAAAGAGGTGTGGAACTAGATAAATTAAGAAAAGAAAATGCCTCTCCTAGGGACATTGAGAAGGCAGAGCAGAAACTAAAAAAAGCACAAGAAGACTACAAAAATTTGACTGAAAAGTACAAAATCATAAGAGAAGAATTTGAAACAAAAATGACTGCTGCTTGTCGGGTAAGTTGAAGGTTCTTTTGAAATCCTAGTTTTTCAATTTAGTATAAGTGTCTTGATGGTTGAAAGGACACAAAAATTTAAAACGAATGTAAAAAATTGAATGTTGAGAACTTAAACATTTTCACAATAAAGCATAAAAAGTTCATTTGAGTTAAAAATTATTTGCTCAATTTTCTAAAATGGCGCTCAAAATAATATAGAGATTGATGAGCATTAAAGTGTGTCTTTTTGCACTCTTGCGGTACAATTCCTTGTGAAAAATTTTAATTTGTCTTAAAATTCACTTTGAAGAGATCTAATTTTATGCGGAAAGTCACTAAAATCAATCCACCTTGTTCGGAGTGAGGGGAGAGGGGCTGGGCCTCAATTTTCTCATTTTCAAGAGCTGTTTAGGATGTCAACCAGCCCTATAGTCCATGCCACGAAAAGTGGCGGGTGAGGGGCGGAGACAGTCGGCCGGTCTAGTCTATCGTTGAAGGGTTGAAGCGCAGGTATTGGCCCGTAGTTGAAACGGGGTAACGACTGGGCCAATACCTGCGCTTCAACCCTTCAACGCTAGACTAGACCGGCCGACTGTCTCCGCCCCTCGCCCGCCACTTTTCGTGGCGTGGACTATAGGTACATAGATTACTCACCATGCCGGCACATAGTTTCACATCTTTAAGATTGCTTCCTCGGGTTTGTTTATTACCGTACTAAAGTACATACAATCTCATATTAAAGGTCAAAAATGTCTGTGTCCTTATAGGACACAGGAAAACACCATTTTAACATGTGATACAAAGTTATGCAACCATGAAATTAGTAAAAATTTGAAAACTTTTGAATACCTACCCTAAAATTTTGACAAGTTTGTTAAAGAAAAAATGGAAAATATCTTTCGATAGTAAGAAGAAAAAAAGGAAGTGAAAAAAAAGTAAATCCAATTGATTGATCAGCTGTGGCAATACAGCCCGCTAGAGAAGTACATCAAGCATCAATGTCACTGAAACAAATCTGACATTACTGACCACCTTGTCTGAAATTACTCCTGTGGACTCATATGTCAATTGCTCCAAAACAGTTTTGGTACGAAGGATCAAAAACAATTTTAAATCCCTATCACTTTAGGTGAAACACCTATTTCCTTGCCTAGACAAAAGTTTTTAGTCGCAAATTTTTTAAAAATTAAAAAAAAACTTATCTTCTTAATTGTAGAAGAAGTGAATTAAAGTGAATTATACTTTGACTTACAGACAAAGTTTTGCATCCATCGTCTGATTATGAGTTTTAATGTAAATTTCATCATTTTCCAGCAATTTCAAGAAGTTGAAGAGGCACACATAAAGCAAATGAAAGATTTCTTAAATACATATGCAGAAGTTATTGAAGATAACAATACATTTGTCGCTCAGGTGAGGGATACTTTTTGTCTTTCCATATAATTACTTTAATTTTACCCTTGCCTACCGTAGCTGAATATTCTTGGAGCAAAGTGATCACCTCTTGACAACTCTGCTTTCTTCAAACTCTACTTGAGCTCTCTCCTGTTCAGGATTTCATTTAAACCTCCATTTGAGAGCCACTAAGGCATTCAAAAATAGTCACAAATAAGACGTAGATAATAAAGTAGGTTTGGTTTCTCTTATCGTTATATGAATTTTCAGCTCTTCGTGAGCCCAACTGGATGAATTTAATCAGGCAAACAGTCAATGTCTGATGTAGTGAGACCGTTTTTGGTTAATACTGTCCAATTAAGACAAGTGGCGGCATAAGGAATTATAAATTATGTAATTAAAAGTTAAGACTTCTTTCGGTGAAACTTTTCTCACTAAAATCTACACTTGCTTGAAATCTGATTTAGTGGCAACTAATTCAAACTTTGACTCAGTTATTTGTATCATCACAAGATCATGCTATTCCGTCAAGTAAAGTCTTTCAAGCTGTGTTGTCTGTTATCTTGATCCCTAATTGTATTTTATGTTTCTTTCTAATATATTTCCCCTTTTACTCTTAAATATTGCAGGTCAATCATGATTTTAAGAAGCAATGTTTGGAGATGACTGTCGAAAAACTGCTCGAGAAATTTGTATTGAACAAGTACACCGGACTTGAGAAACCAGGTAACAATTTGGCAATTTCTTTTTTTATCATGTTAATTTTACCTTCAACACACACATTCACAAGTAGAACTGCTCTGAATTCAGGAGTTTTAGAACAAGTAGAGACTAGAATAAATGTAAAGGTCAATCAAACCAGAAAATATTATCTTTCGATGATTTTTGAAGAAACCAATCTAGTACTTTTTAATGCAGTATTTGTTTAAATGTCAGAAAAAATTATTTTCAGATGCAGCTTCAATAATTCAAAGGGATGATGATTTTACCACAGTGTGCTTAACCATGTGGAAATCCAAGGTACACTCTACTACAGGTATGGACAAACGGGGTGCCGAAGTGGCAGCGCTGAGATTATAGGACATCGAGTGACGTCGTTAGTCGTACCGTCTTTGCCGCGCAGTTCAAAATGAGGTTCTGGTAGATCCGTTGGCTTCGATAAGCCATCAGATGAATTTAAAAAATTTATAGAACTCAAAATAACGAAAACCTTAACTAAGAACACGAAAAAATAACACGAAATTGACGAAACCCACTCTTAAATCAGAAAGTAAATAAGTTTTCAATATGGCGTCGCAGTCGTACCATTGGACGCTGCCAAATCTACGCGTTTCGACGACTTTCTAAAATTCCATTTGTCCATACCTGTAGTAGAGTGTACCTTGGTGGAAATCTAAATTTTGGTCTAATGAGTTGTCAGAGCTCTTCCATCAACTTTATTTTTCCGTGCATAGCTCTCTCTAAAAAATGTTTTTATTCTTTTCAGAATCTTTAGAATTTGAGGAATTTAACACAAATGCATCACCGAATCGAGGACCTCAAATGTCCACAGAAACGAGTGTTTCTTCAAAATTAGGAGCATTAGCTGCAAATGGGGACCAGGTTTCTGCCAAAACTTCAAAACGCGATGGTAATGCGGGTATGTGGGAGAATAAAGCAAATAAACAGTCCCGTCGTGCTACATCCCTTCTCAATCTCTTCATGTCCAACTCCCATGGTATGTCATCTACATCTCCAATTCTCACTTTTCTTTCTTTCTCTACTTCCTTTTTCTCAAACGATACTCTTTCACGTTTTCATCGAAACCTAGTGGTTTGAACATTTATTTAAGCTATCATGTATGTAGCTGATTTTTCAGCTTTTTGCATTCACTCTCGTGTAGGCAAAATGTGAAGTAGGAAGCCGTCTCAATTATTGCTTCGTGGTCATAGTTAGACAAATTGAATTTCCACAAGTGATTTCCAACAGTCATGTCCTTCTATTGCAGGTTCCCCCCTGTCTTAGTCCTCATGTAGCTCCTCAAAATTTTTTCACTCGATTATGAAGTGATCTACTTGCACCTTACACTGACGCTCCCCACCATTTTTACTGCAGAAGTGCCCTCCGAACTACCTCAATCGTTATAGCTTCTTGTATTTTAGAAATACTTGGAATCTGAAAATATATGGCTGTGGTGTGACTCAGTTAATGTTGTTCCAAACCTAGTCAAGCTTACATTTTTATATGAAGACTACCCTATTCTCCTTAGTTCATCCAGGAGCAATGTTGCATTTATTTCACAGCTTTTTTGTTAATTTTGTTTCGTTTATTCTTTTAAATCTCTTCTTGGTATATTGATTCTATTTTTTTATCGACTATGATCGTCCCAGATCATTTTAGTGGAAAATCAAAAGGGCAAAAACTCAGTGTTTTAATTAATTGGATTATTATTGTTTTAGATTTTCAACTGTGATTTAAGTTAACGGTGTAGTGGTAAAATCATGTTATCCTTTTGGTAAGTGGTCTTTCTGATCAAGTGTAAATTTCTACTGTACATTTGGCTTACAACCTGTTTTTACCTCCGTGAAAAACCTCCTAAAATTATCTTTCTTTCAATTATAATTTTTCAATAGGTTTTTTTTCCTTTTCTTAATATATTTTTTGAACTATCTAATAACCATTCTTGAATCATGTGTTATACATCTAAACATTTTCATCGGGTTGCACTACTTAGAGAGATTTTTTTTAAAAAAAAAAAAAAAAAATTATTTTGTATCAGTTATTGAAACTTGGAAAATTTTGATTGGGAGAATTGTTTTGCGGGTCCAACAAAAAAGTCTACATTTTACCTGATCTTCAAGGGATGAATTATAATCAAAGCCTTCTTTGTCTCCCTTTTCCTGTTTTTGGTAGGAGTTGAGGCATTTTGGTCCGTTAATAATCCTATCGTTAATCTTTTTCTGGCCCAGGACGTGTATACATATCTTGAGGTAGCGTTACCATAGATGTGTATAGACGTTTCAAGCTGTCACTTCATATTTCCAACCGAAACAGCCATACTGCGGGGCTGGCCACAGCGTCGATGTGAGTTTTATCTGTTGGTGAGGAAAAGTAGCACAACTTTAGCCCATTCTCGCTAGAGTGTGCATGCTTTTTGTCGGAGAACTTACCGGATAATCCAAGTTCTCTTAATCCTAAATTTTTCTATCACCAGTCTGCTTGGAAGGTACTACATCCACAGTGCAGCTCTGGTGAGCAAAGAGTTAAAGCAAACTACTTACCTCGTTCATTGAGTAGCAATGCATCAGTCATCCAAGATATGGAGAAAATTGACATTTATGCAAGTACATCGCAGGCCTCTCAAAATTGTTTACCTGTTTCTTTCTCTGATGCGAAACAAACAATACCTTTGCACCGAGAGCTTAATCTCTTTTTTTTCTTCTTCCTCTTATAAGGAAATCATAAAGTTACGTTACCTCACAAAATAAAACAAGTAGTTTGTACTGTCACATAAACGTAGCGATCAATTCATACTACTTGATCTTCATGCCTCTCATAGATCTTTCATAGATTGTAGCATTTTGTGATATTGTGTTAAGCTGCTCTCACTTCATCTTAAACATAGATCTTTTTGTGTTTTGTCGATCATACGTATGAGTACGCTTGAGTGTGTGTATGTGTACGTCCCTGCGTCAGCATATGCTTGCTCAGCTTAAGCATAATTTAGGGCTACAATTTTAGTGATCTTATCTTCTAATCTGTTTGAAAAACGATTAACTAACTTCTGCTGATGTAGCTATCAGTTGTCTATCTTGAAGTTACAAATATCTCTGTAAGGCGGCAATTTTTGGTCTGTTTTCACTTTCTTGTGTTCACATTTATTAAAACGGATGTAGTTTTTAATACCTTTTTTCAGTATCGCAGACTCCTAAGGATGTTTGGAAAGGTTTTGAAGTGTTAGGTTGATGATCTAAATTTTCAAAGAAATCGTCATTATTTTTTTGTCAGTATAGTGCGTTATAAATTTGAATTTGAAGCATCCATTAAAGAAAGTAAAATATGCACTCTGTGACAGGATTTTTTTTTTTTTTTTACCAACTGTTGCTCAATCTGCCTGAGGCCTGAGGCCTCTTCAATTAATGTCCATTTTAAGCTCACTATAACTGACTGTGATCAATGTAAGCATCAAAAATGTCTCATTCTTGAATTGCAAGTCATGAATCCAATTTTCCAGAGGTTTCATCAAATTTTTTTAGTAACCGATTGATTTGTCTAATCCAGGCTCTCAAGTCCTTAGGCCCCTCATATGTCAGTCTATCTTTATTTTTTACCTAGGTGAATCAAAAATCATTAATTCTCTGTCATGTTGACAACCTATCAACATCTTCATTCAGCACCTGTTACTTTAAAAAAGGTTTACATGGTCAGTGGGTTTTCTACTGACAATGAGTTGATGTGTGTGCTGCGAGTGAGTTTTGTTTCTTGCGATACCATTTTGCAACTTCAAAATGTATAAGATAAGACTACGATAAGACTTTCTTATTTTAGAAATAACAAATATCTGCGCCATTGGAAGCTCAGACCCACTTCGTATTTTCGTTTCTTCCTCAAGCAGTGTCTACTGTACTGAAAACTTAAACATATTGCCTCGATTGTCAGGAAGTTTATAGTGTAATAACATCTGTCTCAAAAAAAAGACTGCATTTTTGTGCAAGAAAATTAAGACTGCAGGGAGAGTCTAGATCCATACCAGCCCAAGTAGAACATGTATTATTCATGGTATTTAATTTTAATTTGTGAAATATTTCATGTCGTTTTTCCCTCCAAATAGCTTCCAGTTCAATTGAAATTTTGCTAAACAAACTATAGTTATCTGTCTGAAGCTTGCTGTTTTTAGCTTCCTCTTTTTCCACCAATTGTGTATGCAATACTTGGCTTTCACGCTATATACACATTGACTACCTGATGATTTTCTAGCGAATTATGTGGAACTTTTTTTAATGTTTCTCAGCGGATCAGACTCGTTATAATGCAGTATCATTCATGGGAAGTGACTCAAGTATTCATAATTTTTGCTTGTTGCTCGTTCTAATCGAGAATACTTCAAACAAGGTTTTATCACCAGTAAATAATTCCAGTATGGTATTCATAGCACCAGTATGGTACCTGGTTTTAGTCTTTATTCTCAGAGGCACGCAATATCAGTTCTAAACCATCACCTCTTTTCTTTTCTATTTTTTCTCTTTTTATATATGTATACATATTTTAACAGTGTACAAATGTTGTATCTATTTTCTGCTCATTTCAATATATTTTGATTATAGATAATTTAGGGTGCTAGGTATTTCCACTGTTTCAGGCAGTAAAGAGGTGTCAGTAAATCCAGAAGGGGGTCCAACATCGGCCCCAACCAGTCCTATCTCTGCAGGTCTTACTGACAGTGGCAATTCAGTACCCTCTTTAGCCCGCAATCCTTTGCGTGGATCAAAATGTAATTGCAATATCAAAATATTTTTCGTCTTCTGCATCCGCTCCTTTTCTCAATTTTTCTTTTTATTAGTCTATTTGATTCCTTCTCTCTTTTCAGTTTAAATTATTTTATGTAGTTTTAAATACTTAGATATGTGTAAATATATTTGAAGTAGAAATCAAAATCTTTAAGTTTCAAGAATTTGAAATTTATCGTTTCCTTCAAAATGAGTGAAAGCCACTTTCTCTTCCCAGCTAGTTTGTTTGAAACTTTTTTAACGATGCTTTGAAAAAAAATGATATTTTTGCCCCCTTGAACTTGTTTTCTCCTAATTTGAAACTTAGTCTCAAACTTTTAGTGATTTGAAATCAAAAAAGTTAAAAATATTTTGGTCATTGGGAATGTGAGATAACATCGCGCACTTTACAATCAATTTTGAAACACAAAATTCAATGAGCACAGGTCAAAAAGTTAACTCGCCTCATGCGAGAGAATACTCAATTCTTTGAACTGCTTACACTCTATTTATCTCAACTTATCACTGAGAACTCTCAAGCAAGCTGTTAGTGTGATTTTTAAAATAAGTTTATGTCATCAAAAACCGAATTCTTAAAGAGAATCAAAGATATCAAATCGAAAAACTCCTTGCCTTCAATGACTTTTACCACCAATTTTAAAATTTTCTTAACTAGGTACTGGAAAAAGCTTAAATTATCAAAATCGTTTGCTCGTTTTGCAATATTTTGTGATAATTTTTAGATATGCCGCAAAAAATTGGATATACCAAGTCCTGAATGAAATGAAACAATGAAGATATTTATGTAGTAGTGAAAGCGGAAAAATTGTTTTGAATGAGTGTTGTTTGATATTGCTACTCCATAAAAAAGGAGATTATCAAGCCATTTATAACCAAATAAACTGAAGAATTTAATAAGTGTACAGGTTCCGATAGGAGTGAGATATATCTTTTGTATCTTAAAAATGTCCAAATATGATAGAAATCTAGAGCGCATGTATGTCACCAAAAATCTGCTTTCTCTTGGGTTTTGGTCTTAGAATAGGCTGTTTGATCAGCCTATTAAAATTTAAAATTTACCATTTAAATGTCATGGATTGTGAACAATTGAGTGAAGGCTTTAGATACAAACAGATTCATCTTTTCAATTTCCGTATAAAGTGAATGATTTTTTCTCTACAGCAATCCCCACCCTTTTTTTTTAGTCGTGAGAGGACACCATCCGTTGACTCCATGGTATCCATTAATAGCATCCTTCAAAATGTAATTAAATGTTGGCATCGTGTGTTCTGTGAAAGGAATAGAAGTGACTCATTATACATAAATTTCATTATCTAATGGGAAGATGTATTTGCTCCAATCATGAACACTGTCACGATTACTAATTTATTTATTTATTTATTTATTTATTTGTTTGTTAGCGACAACCGTGTTTCAAAATTATCAAAGTTAATTTTTATGTCCGTTTGTCTTTTTCCTTGTTTAAAAGTAGTGAATTTAAGTACACCAAATTAATCTGATTTTGAGCGTGAAGAAACACAGAGAGAAGTTAATAAATGATAAAAATTAGATATATTCATTTACAAGGTGTTTAACAAGTACTTCTAATCTCTTCGTAGTGGAGATACCCACATCTATTTTTGAAACAAAATATATCACCCATGAAGATAGCCCCATCAAGGATCATCTCGTTACCTTTTGGCCAAAGTATCACAAGGGCCATTTACGCCCAGACGCTGTGTTGCTGGACATCTCACTATTGATTTAATTTTTTTTTTAAACTTTTTCACATACTTTCAAAGAAATTTTAAAGATTAATCTTGATGAAAAAAGAACTATCCTGTAAAATTTACAAGATATTGAGACATCTTAAGACCAAGAATTTCTTATTACAATCATGACAATTTAAAAAATATCAAGAATGCTCGATTATCTTAAGTTTATCTTGCATTACTCATTTTCTTGCCAGTACTGTAGGTCTCAGGCATCAGATGTCTTTTCTTTTGCTAATTTTTTACTTAGTGATGCTTGCAGCTTTACCGTACCAAATCAAGAATAATGTCATGTGAATGCCTGTCGTAATGTTTCACATTAATTTTTGTTATACTCACTGTTTTTTTTTTTTTTATCATTATCATTATGAGTAACTGGAAGAAACCTGCTTTCTGAGCAAAGAAATACTGAATAACGGGCCTATTTCAAGTTTTAACTTATTCCTCTCTCATGTAGGCGGTCTTTGTCTCGGAAAATCAATTTTTTTTTTCACTCCCAAAATTGTATCATCATATTACAACACGTTTTACCGCCTTTTGTGTTATTGGAGTAAGACAGTCGGCAAAATCGTTGAACCGTCTTTCAAAAATAATTCGAAAGACATCGCATTTTTCGAAAAGCAAACCAATTTTAAAGTACTTGACTTTAAAGACAAATACTTTTTATCTGTATTTTTTCCTGGTAGAATTGTTAACATGATAAACACCTATCTCACTCAAGCAACTTTCTTATTTCAGTATTTTTTTTCTCATTGAGAAAATTTCTTCTCTCTAGGTGCTCATATCTTTAGTCGCTGCTTATGTTGTTATGCACCTATAGCATGGGGTCTCTTACAAAACTAATGGTCACTAAACCTTTCTGTGCTAATGAGGTAGCTGGCTATATCTTACAAGGACTCTGGATCTTGTAAATGATTTCTCAGACACCCCTCCCCTTCCTCCAAAGACGTTTACCCCTCAAAAAGCATTGTGCACGACAGACAGTAGTAGCCCCGCAGCCCTTTTTGTTTCTATTATTGTAGATCTGTCTTTAAAATTTGTATGAGAAGCATGCCCTATCAAAATTGAACTGTTTAAGCCATTTACAGGATGGTTAGAGAGGAGGACGATTACTTCGTTTAAATTCGCTTGACTTAGGTAGAATGTTAAATTTAACCAGAGAATAATTTATTTTTGTGTGTGAGTGTTCAGGGCTTCGTTACTGATGTGTAATAATTGGTATTTAAACATAATTGGCTGTACTAGCCGAAAGCTTAATCCTAGTTATGGCTCTAGTGTGATAGAAGGCTTCTGCATAATGCTCTCAGTTCAGGGTTGAATTTATGTTTTTTCCCCCTTTTTTTAGAATAAAGAATTCAAATTCAGCTTAAAGAGCCGAAATTGGTTTTGAAAACCAACAAAATTGGTTATTTAAATAAAAGTAACCATGTTGAATAAATGGAGTTGCACTCATGAGATGACATTTTAACTGTTAAGTGTTGGTGAAGCTTTGCTTTTGCTCCACACATTATGACTCTAAATAAGTGATTCGATACTTCTAACTGAGCAATACATATTTTAAATTCAGTTTCGGCTAGATTTACGGAACTGTTCATCATGCCTCCTTCGCCTTGTGTAGGGTTTTAATGTTGCTCTTCTGTTCACAGTATGATCTCAGTATACTGTAATTAATGAATATTCGCATGAATTACAAAAAACCACTTGAAAAAATATGATGACTCTCGCTTGACCAACCAAACTCATCGTATGAAATCTATTTTCAACAAAAACATTCTGAGAATTAGAAGTGGCAACATTTTAACTGCAATGATGAAAAATGTCTTTCTGATTGAAACTGTGTCTCCTCAAAGGGCAATGTTTGGAAAATGATTCTTCCAGTGATCTTGAATATGAGCAAAATGTAAATTTACCCGTCAGTAGGATTTGAACGTTGTTGTCCTATTGATACATATAACTGCATTACTAGATCGTGCAGATGTTGACCCTAAATTCCTCACAACAATATCAATTTATAAAATCCAATCTTTTTCACCCGATTAACAATCTAAAAAAATAAGAAATGTTATTATATTTATTATAAAGATTTTTAACCCCCTTTTGAGGTTTTTGTCCCAATGAGAGACAAGTTAAATTACTGTCCGCGCAAAGAAAACCAAAACTAAGTCTGTGTGCATGTTTATCATAGCTGGCTTTACACACGGTGAAGGTGCAGAGCTCCTAAATTTACTCAAGTTCTCTACCACACAAATCACTGACAACACACCTTAATCAATTGGCATCAAATTCGGTTATTTTTTTTCTTTGCATCCAAAACTGGGTTCCGATTTTACCGTGCCCTATTTATCTAATTGAAGCTTTAGAACTATGAATTAGTGCAGCCCTTTTTTGTATAATTGCTCCTCTGCAAAATCGTGATCTCCATTCTCATGGCCCCTAAAGATGGTAGGTGACTTCAGAGGAAAAAGCTTGCCAGCCATTACAGCTTTAAAAGTTTTGGGGGTGAAATTGGGACCCTGAGCCAAAATGGATAATGTTCCATTTTATTTTCTGCACCCAAGTCTCACTCAGTCAAATAATCTAGTCACTATTCTAAAATACTAGGTGCACTGGACCACCTGTCTCTCCATAAAGCATCTATGTATTGTATAATCCAAAATTTCAGTCTCACATTCGCCTCATTACCAATCACTTCATCAAACTCAAAATAAATGTGTAGTTTCAGGCTACTGCAATCCAATTTAAGGGAGTATTTTTTTTTTTTTTTTGGACACACACTCCTTATGTGTCTTTCCCTTCTCATGAACATAACATCATGTCAATTTCGTTTCCTGATGTGATGTTCTCTCCATTCAATTTCTCTCATTCTGATTTTCATCCCATGTTGAATTTCACGCATTGAAACCTTTCTAACTATCACATTTTCTTCTTTTCACATTCCTGTTTACCTTTCATGACATACGGGACTGTTTATTTGCAATATTATATCAATATTTTATCGTCACTGTATTATTGTATTTTTTTGTCTTTCAGGAGTTTACGAGGCTTTCTTTTCTGTTAATGTTTCTTCTTAAAGGCCTATGGGTCAAATTGTTTCAAGGAAACAAACATTTCTTATCCATGTAGTTAGTAGTAAAAAAAAAGGAACCAATCTATTATCCACTACAATTGATTAAGTATTTTTCAGTCATGATTTTTAAATGGGTCTCTTAAATTCCTGAGCTGTTCATTGTTTCTAAGTGTCATTGCCAATGTTAGATAATAGCACGGAAATGCCAAGTATACAAAGGAAAAAACTACTCTTAATAGTTTTTTACATTTCTTTACAATGAATGAGGGATAAGAATCATACAAGGAAGAAAAAATTAAGAAAAAAATTGTTCCATTTTATGCTTTTATATCTCACAAATTCTCACAAACCTGAGGCTCTTATAAATAACGGCTAATCAATACTAGAAAATGCTGTTAATTGCATTTTCATATGATTTAAATATTCTTGCTGATATTTATGAGGAGCGTTTGGAAAGCAGACGATAGTCATTTACTATCTTTTTTTTTTACTTTCCATTGTATGTATTGGCTCCTGGCTATTCAACAACTTTGACAGCAATGCATTTACTCTCAATTAAGTGTTATTTTGTTTGAGTATAATTTTGAATTCTTAATTCTTTCCTGATTAGTATTTTTCAGATTTTTCTTTCTTATTTAAAGGTCACCTGCTCTTTAAAATGACAAAAGAAATGGAATGATCCCTTAAATCTTAAACAATTGGAATTTCCTTTTGAATTTAGCTTCACTTTTTAACACATAGTGTTTTTCTATTTTCTTATTGATGCAACATTACCTCTTCAAATACAACCAGTATCTTTTGCTCTCAGTTTAACCATATAACCAATAAAAATATTTAGCTTAAAAGTGCTACTATAAAGTTTATCTTGGGTTCGTCGCAAGTAGGTACGTAAGTTTGTTGAATGATCTCTTTGCTCTTGTTTTGAACGCTAACTGTTTTGCGGGTTCTCAATCCAAAACTAATTTGTGATTTGTCCTCTCCTTGTCATTCATTATTTTATGGATACCCATTCACCTTCACTTTTTCAACTATCTCTCATGTTAGTCTCAACTATCCTCCATTCATGAAAAATTTGATTGAAATTTTTACTTTATACAAAGTTTGAACATATTTCACCTAACTATTGTGGTCATTTCAAATTTATTTCTTAATTTCTCTTTCTGTTTTGACCTTTCTTTTCTCTCTTTCTCTCTCTGTCAATACTCATAAAAAGGGCAAAATTTTTCATTCCAAATAGAATATATTTGGAGTTGTCATTATGTAGATTACTGGATCGCATCCAACAAAAGCATTCTCTAGGTGTCTTTCTCCTCCGTAAAAACGTGATTTTGTTGGCAGCTTTCCCCAAGTATATCATTAAAATCTTTTCACTAGTCAATTTTTTATAGAATAAAAACATATCTGTTTTGAAATGAAACTTTTAATTAATATCTTGCGCAATTTATACTATAAAAAGGGATTTTATCTAAGTTATACGATCAGACGGATAGTGAAAAGAATGAAGACTTTTCCTGAAACTAATTATTATCTACTTTATTTCTCAGAAATTGATGTGTGATTTATTTTTAATGAAATTAGATTACAACAAGCAGTTTGCCCCTCACTATTTTGCCTTTGCATCCTAACTAGTTTCTCTTAGTTAGTCGTAGGAGTTACCCTCCACCTAAACTTCTTCAGACTCAGTGCTCAGTGCTCCATTTTATTTTTTACCTTTTGAGATTCACAGAACAGTAGAGCCTTTACCATGAAATTAAAAATCCATGCAAATATGCACTTTTGAATAATATCACTCCTCAGTTTCACAGTTTTACTTATAACAAGTTGAACTAGGTACTGTAGTACTGCTGTGTTGGTGGAAAGCACAGTAGTTGCGCAGATTGTAGTTCGGAGGAAATAGAGTAGTAACTTGCAGCACTTTGTGTTGCAAACAAAAAATACACAAAACAGAAGTATACTGAAGCCTTTGTTTAATCGGTTCTTGACTAGAGAGCTGATGAATGATTTCTAGTTTTCGCATTACCAAGAGTTAACGAATTGTGGAAGCTAAACGAAAATCGACCATGATGCTACCAAAATAATCCACAGGAAGCCTTGAATCCTCAAGGTAAAGTAGTACTTGCACTTGCATTACCATGAAGATACCTCTTTACTCCTCAGTCCTGCGCACCTACAGCTGTTTTCCTGAGGTTCATTCATGCACAAATAATATTACCAGTTCTTTGTTCTCTATCAATTATCATTCTAATTAATTACTGAGCACTTTCAAGCAATTCTATATTAGGTTATTTTATACACTCTTGACATTGTAGAGACACAACACTGAAAAAGACACTGGCTAAATTTCGATGTTATTTGATATTATATCGTATTATTCCATTGCCAATCAGAAGTTGCAACATTTACACTAGGAATTCTGCTCTGCTTTTCTCGCAATCGACACTCAGAAAGTTTGATTCCAAAAGCTCATAGTGCTTAGGAGGCTGTAAGGAACATCATATCAAACGATTTCAAAATTTATTAGACGCTGAATTTCTTGGTTTTTTGTGCGTAGTCCTTTTGGAGTATTTACTGTACTTTTCCTCAGCACAGCAGAATCTTATCACCAATTACTTTCTAGTTTTTACAACTATTTCTACAACTTTATCATCCACCTAGAATAATTTTGTAAATATTCAGGAACTTTAATGAAACCCCTCCTATCCTTATAATACTATTTTTTTGTTTCTATTTTACCGGTGTCACTTTTTACCTTTAAGTCGGTATTCTGGTAGGCCCATGATAAACTTAGATAGGATCTGTGCGGTGTACTACTTTCTGTGATAATACTTTACACTTACAAATCACTAAAAACAGTTTAAGGAGACCGCAAAATTGAAAGGATTAATAAATTATAACGTGTATTATTGTATGTAAAGCATCGTGCAATAAATTACCCAACTTTTATTGGAGACATCCAAGAGGTGAGACTTGGGCTCAGCAGTATTATGGCTCATGGCACTGCTTTTCTGACGTAAAAGCATGTCTTGATGTTTTCATGAGTCCTGCTCTCTGCATAACTCCATGATTTTCGGGGCTCATGTGGAATTTGAGATACACCTTTACGTCAGAAGAGCTATGATAAGTCTTTCCAGGAAATTATATCAAAAGTATTCGGTTCATTTTTTAACTCTTCATCATTGAACAATTACTTTTTGTTTGAAATAAGCATGTGTAGTGCATTCTTCTGCTTGGGTCTTGTTTTTACCTCTTTTTTCCCTTTATGTTTTGGTTTCTTGCATCCATTCCCGCTGTTCGAATGATTCATCTCATGCATCAACTGAAGACTTATTTCCTTGTTACTCAATTATTAGATGACTCATTCTGTTACTCACTTGCTAATTTAGTTAAGTTATTTTATTTCAAAAATGTATCATTTTTCCCTCTTCCAACTTCAAGTCTGCCATCGATATATGTAGTGTTATTTATATCCATGGTTATTGAAGAATTTCCCAAAAATTTAGATCATCGTCACTTGAACAAGCCCACAAGCGCTGTCAGTAGGTAATACACAATTTTTTTTATGTATGCACTATTGTAGCACAATGTATATATGTGCAAGAAAAAACACTGAAAATGTAAGAAACTATATGTAACAAGGAGTAGGATAGTGCTGGGTCCACACTTTTTTGCAGAGAAATCAAGGCTAAAAATTTGAACTCTGATGTGAATCAGTACAAGACTGAGGGGGAGAGTATACTTTGGAGTTGACTTTTAATCGAAATTCTCAGGACTTTTTTACCTTGTTTTTCTCGCAAAATAGTGTGCATTTAGCACTATTTTATCTCTTTGTTGTACGTATATATTGTGTACAATAATAGATACTCCAATTCTTGTCCCTCATCATAATCTGATAATCAGCTATCAGGTGAAAATGAATTTGACATGAAATACATTTAATGGCACTTTGCTCATAGTCATTAGGCAGTGCAACTACCCCCCTATTCATGTATGGTCTTTTGAACTTTTCTTTTTGGCAAGAATAGAAAGCTAAATAAAGCATGAAAGGATTCGTCATCTGAGAAGCTCAAGTGACTTCAATCAAGTATAGATTTTGGTTTAGCTAAAAACTGTTCAGATTTACTTTAATTTTTCATTCATTTCATTCCTTTCACATAACTCCTTGAGTTAGAGTGAGTTTTTATCCTTCGTGTTTCATTTCTTCCCCTCTTTTAATCTAAAATTTTTCCTTTGTTTCGTGCTGCTTGGTCTTCAGGGCTCAACACTTCATATGACTCGCCTTCCCCTTCATCTGTGTCCTACAACATCACCTCTTGGACATCAGGTGGATTACTCTTAAATCTAATGTGTAAAACCTGTGTAGTTTTACCTACTTATTTTCATTCAGATACTGATACTTGACTGCTCAATTAATTACAAAATATCCTGGAAAATAAAGGCTCAACCAGTGTTGAAAAAAAGGGGAGAGAGTCAACAATTTTTCAGTGTGAGAGGTTCGATGGGCATTTTCCAAAATAATGAAATCCCCTGCTTTTTTGAATTCAGATTTGCTCAGATCAAGAGGTAACCTTTTTGCATCTGATCCACTTCCCATTCTGTTCATATGGTTTTTATTGGTACATTCATATCATGTCCTTCTCCATATTTATCTTGCATGGTCTCTGTTAATAAAGCTTAGAGAACATGTGTATTTACGCTATTGTACGGATACTCGCTTAAGATAGGATTGCAAACCAGGATAACAAGGAAAAAAAAAAAAAATAATGAATGAATGAAAATAATGTCACACCATTTCATTTTCTTTTTGGAGGTCTACATTATTTTGCATCATCTTTCCCTTTTCTGGTATCTCCACAGAAAAGACTAATTTTCGCACCTAAGATTAGAATTGTGCAAATACTATGAACTTTGATCCATAATGTCTGTGAAATACAATTTAGTAACATAAATTATAATCAAGATACATTTTTAAAAAAATACCCTCATGGGTTTTTGGAAGGTCAAACTGCCTTAAATTATAATGTACTTTTTACTCCATTCCTCTGAAGATTTTGTCATTTTATGTTAACTCTTTACTGAAAAGTATAATTACTGTTGAAGTGAATGGTTTGGAATGTTTTTTGTGTGGCCCTCTTCGTTTGTCTTTTATATTTTGCTTGGAATGAACATTCGGCTTTAATTTTTTGGTTTCGAATTCAACCGATTTATTTATGATTCTCATACAAGCTTGATGTTTGCTCTTTCAACCTTATTTATTGTTTTCTTTCGTTTGTTGTTAATTATATTTTATTTTTTTTACTACCCCCACTAGTGTATGCCTTCACAAACTTTTATTTATTTAAATTTTATTTTTAATGTAGGGTTTCTAAGAAGTAGACGAGAAAAACGCAAAGAGAAAAAAGCTAAAAAGAAGAAAGACGGCTCTGCAGACACGACAAGTAACAAGGAAGAAAAATCCGATCTGTGAGTTTATGAAATTCTGAGTCTTACCTCCTTTCTAAGTATTTTACATTACTTTCTCATCTTAAGCAGTGAGATATCAGAAAAGCACATCTTAATTTGGAGTATCAGATCTGAAAACTTTAATTGACAGTCAAATAAAAAGATGCACCGATATTTTTATAAGTTTTAAAAAAATTAACTTTAACTTAATAAGCTTTTAACTTAACTCTGCATTGTGTTTCAAACTTCCTCATATTGAAAAACAGTGAATATCAAGTAAGGGCAATCATAGATGAGAGTACATTTTTTTGGCTCTAAGCAAATTATTTATAACGCCAAAGGGACTATTTTCTAATCAATTTTAATTTCACTTTAGGGAAGAGAAAGAAGATAGCAGAAAATCAAAAACTCCAACCCCAGAAGTTGATGAAGAAGGATACTCATTGAGGCCAAAAACAGATTCTTGGGAGAATGACAAAGGAAGCTTTTATTCCAGTTCTGATTCTGACTCAGGTATTGTATTCAAAATTTGTAAGAGGAAAAAGTAGGTATCTGCTGTCCTAGTACTATTCTATGGATCATCAGTGTATGATAAAGCGGTCTCTACAAGGCAGGAAAGGTTGAAAAAAATTCAGGTTTTTTCCTGATAGTCAGGAAATTTTTCTCAAAACTGCAGTGTTTCAGTTTAGAAAACGCCAAAATTGAACAATCTAAAATGAACCCATTTTTATCTATGGAAGTACAATGATAGATTGAACTACAGCTGAACCACGGTTATCAGAGGTCATCTGAAGCACTGATATTTTGTTAACTTTAATGAAAAAAGGGTAAATTAGGCGCTCAACCAAGTAATGACATTCTGCAATAACGCATGTTTTTTGATGAATGAACTTTAAAGTCTAGAATTCAAAACTACTCACAGGTGCATATATCTATAGCATGTGAATGAGGAAGATGATTCAAGAATGATCAACAATTTTAATCCTGCTTTCGCCTCTTTACACCCGTCCTGTTATATTTTTCAGCAGATGAAAAAGAACGTAAAATACATGTTGAAATCAAACCTTTAAGTAATGGATCTGCCCCAATGAGTGCTAGTGTAGATGAGCTACGCGCAACTGTCGGAACATTATCCCTATCTCAAATAGCACCAATAGCTGTAAGTACTCTCAAGTATTTCATCGCACATCAACTATCACAGAAACCACTCTGCTCAGACTCAAGATGATGATCATACGATCATAACCAAGATGATGTCAGAGTATTCTAGCTTTAGAGGGAAAGTCTCACTACAAGCTCAAATTCTCTCTCAAAGTTACGCTGTTTGTAGAAAACTTTTTACAGTCCAGTCAGAAGGCAACTGTAGACACGCTTCCGAATCCATAATCAGTACAATCCAGTACTCTGTGTAATGTAGTGTCAACCTCGGCTATGATCGTGTGATCACCATTTTGTGTCTGTTGACTGATGTGTCTTGCTACCTTTTTTCTTTGCATTATTTTCAACCCATCCATAGATTACTTTCTCTTTCTGGATGTCAAGCGTATAATTTAGTCCTTTCAAAATAAAAAATAATTTATTTGTCTGATTTTAGAAAAAAATGTTGAATAAAAAGTCACTGCATTTGTTGAATATAGCTCAAATGACCAAGTAATTTAATTAATATTTAAAACTATGAGGATGGAACCATACTGGTTCAGCTGTCTGTAATGAGTTAGTGAAATCACTTTTCATTGCTTCATTTGCCAGCTCTGAATCTACAGGAAGTCACAATTTTCTTTGAGGTAACATTGCAGGAAAAAATGCATTCTCTAAGAAGTGCATCACAGAAAAAAATGCATCAACAAATATGCTGAAGTAAGGCAACCATGAGCAGGGTTTTGAAGTGAAAGACAGTAACATTCGAAAATCTGTATCATGCTGGCTGCATATTCTTGGGTGGTAAAAGAAATGTCAACATGACCTCTATGCCCAAGAAAGGAGTGATTATTTTAAAAGTGCGAGGGCGCTAAAAGAGGTGACCTTTGAATTCTATGAATTTGCCCATTGTTCTCTTCATCTAATGCGGCAAGAAGAATATTGGGTCATCTTTAATCTCATACATTTTCATACGTTCGTGTTGTTTGTTCTTCCTCCTTTCTTTTAACCCATTGACTTATGATTTAATTTGACCCTGCTAAGCCAGGAATTACTATTTAATTTGGCTAAAATCAGTAACTTTGAACACTTTAAAATAATCATAATCCTAGAACTTCTTCTCTGAGGTTAAAAATTGATATAATAAGCATTCACAATACAAAATTTGAGAAAAATGATAAAATCGAAAAAACTTATTTTTTATCGTTATTTATTGCTGTCTAAGTCACAAAAACCGCAAAATTGGCGAAAAGCAGAAAATTTTGGGGTTATTTCATGTTCAAACGTACAAAAATATGAAAATACCGGAACAAAGCAAGAAATTACCGTACACAATAAGACATATATTTGCCATTCTACTCATGTAAACATTGATGAGAACGATATCTACGGGAGAATCGCTGAAGAAAAGCAAACCCATCGCAGCACGGGCGGCTGAGAGCCGTCAGTTTAAGTCAATGGGTTAACCTCATACATTTTCTTACGTTCATGTTATTTGTTCTTCCTCCTCTTTTTTAAAGGAAGGGATCATTAGTAATTGATGGGCACCATTTATAATTTCAGGGTCGAAGAGGCTCAACAGTGGAAGGAGATTTATCCATGAAACGATCTCAGTCTGTGTCTCAGCAATTAGGAGGGTAAGATTTTTTCTTTTTTCTTCAGTTTTCTCGGTTTTTTTCCCCCACTTAAAGAATACTAGTACGTATTCATTTTTTTGTTTACTGCTTTCTACATNCGGAACTCGCCCAGAGAGCAGATTGTGTATTTTTGATCAAAATATACAAGTATTGAATCTGTATATTTGCAATTTTTTTTGTGTAATTTTTCCCGAATTTTCCCGCAGAGTCCGCTTTTAACGAAGTTCCGGATATAACGAAGTTTTTCTGGGAACCGTGAACTTCGTTATATACGGGCTCCACTGTAGTACGTATTCATTTTTTTGTTTACTGCTTTCTACATAAATGCTACCTTTTTAAACTGCAATCAGTGACAGCTTCATCAAGAAGTGTGAGTCAAAACCACCAACTGAATGGAAGAACAGCCTTTCCTTTCCCCTATCTACTTAAAAACGTATACCCAAGTAGCAGTGATCACGATAAACAGCGATTATATTGGTGGCAATATATCCAGGTATTATTGCATTAAAAATTGTGATTCATGGCGATAAAATCGCGATCAATTTTTGTCGATGAAATCGAGATTAAATTGCCATTTATCGCAATTTGTATTTAAAAAACATCGCGATAAATTTCTGGGCAATAAAATTGCGATTTTATCCCAATAAGATTGAAGGTAATGGCTCAGATGTTGATGATCCTAGCGATTTTATCGCCGATAGAATTGCAATATTTCCCGATTCTTCGTTGAAAAATACTGCTTGGGTATGTACAATACACGGTGTCCCAGAAAACCCAAACCAATAATAGAGGGCTTGTTCAAGACCACATCAGCGAGGCCGTGGGAGGCTTAGGGACAGTTGAATTCAGACACCTTGAGGTCGATTATCCACCAAGACACCTTTTTCCCGGGCCTTTATATTAATCTAGTGACTTAAAATTTTATGGGAGATGGCTGTGTCCCTCAATTTTTACAGATACGTGGCAATTCGTGACATGAAATGCTTCTATTCAAGGAGCCAAGGGTCTTTCAATTTTCAAATCACCCTAATTCTGATTAGTCAAAAATAAAGATCACTATTTACTACAGTGATAACATTTCGGTCATATTTACTCTTTTTAATTCTTAAAAATTTGTTTTATTTTACAGGAAACTAAGCTCAGATTTAGTAGGTTTAAATTTATTCCAAAGTCCAACAGGATCTAGTGCGTCAACACCCTCTGGAAGTCATCCTTACGCCCCTCTCCAAAGTCCTACTTTATCTGCAAATAATTCTGCTCCTACAAGTATACCATCAGCCACATCTAGATACTCAGGTCTTTATTTCTTCAAACGTTTTCTTCCTCTTAATTTTTTGACAGTGTTTTGTGAGTAACAAAAGAAATTAACTGGAAAGTTAGTAGTATTAACTTTTGAAGTTCGAAAAATTAATAATTTTATTAAATCAGGATGATGACCAATTTTGATGATGTCCAACCTTTGTATGAGCTTGGCTACATTTTACAATCAGAAATTAATTTTTCTGCCTAATGTCAGAAGCATGATATGTGCTACTACTTTCCCTATGCAGATAGATGCTTTTGTAGGTGAGCCAGAAACAGTAGCTCCGTGTCGCGAACGTAGTCGAATTGAGCACTAAAAAACTTAATTTCTATTCTTATACATCATTTATTTCTTCATCAAAATTTTAAAAACAGACTGTTGTTTAGATGAGAGCTTATTGAGAGACCATTTAGTCTCAGAATGCTTGGATAGAGTCAAGCACAACAGTTACATCTAAATGGCAGTGCTGCAAGATTTCATCTCTATTTCAATTTTTTTGAAAGAGAACAAACCAACATCCCCAATCAAAAATTGTTGCAATTTTTCAGGCCCATATGAGGGTTATCTCAAAATTTTGAGCAAAAATGTTGGTTGGTCTTTCTTCAAAAATTAAAATAAGTGATGAGAATTTGAAACATCACAATGTAAATGTGACTGTTTTGCCTAACTCTATCCAATGAATTATTCTGTATCATCTTTGCTTCAAAATTGGTTCCAAAAATCGTTGTCAAGGTAATCCTTTTCCTTCTTTAACACACAATTTCATGCTGTTAGTTCTAAATGAAGCTTTTAAGTTGTATTTTTTCGTACCTAACCTAACTATGCATTTTTGTGCTTGTTTTATAGATCTTGGGGACCTGTTCTCGGAAGTAGGTGATATGCAACCAGCTTTACCTCCAAAGCAATCTCGCCAAAGTACTTCAAGTGTTACCATGGGTTCAATTGCTATACCTAGACCCCCTTCAAGGAGAGGAGAGGTATTTGACTTAAGCATATAAAATTGTGGAAATTTTTTCATATTCTGACCAAATCTTCTACCTTTTTAAACCACATTCAATTGTTTTGGCAGGCCCTCCGCCAAGTATATTCTTCGCCACTGGTTGTAATTTTTCTTCTCCTAAATTTATAACTTGCGTTGATTATCTGATCCACAGCGTAGTTCTTCCAATTCTATATTATGTAATAATTTTCGCATGATAATTTAAGATTAATTTTAGAGAGAAAAAGAATAGGTAACTTCATTTTAGAATACCAGTAGGCTTAAACATGAATTTATTTCCTTGTTGAATTTCAAAACTAATCTAAATATTTCCAAGTTAGGAAAACCTTAACATTGTTTTTCAAGGCATTGCTTTTTGTTTCTCTGTCGGAACATAACAAGGCTATCCCAATCAAAGACTGGTTAATTTACTGCTTCTTAAAGTTTTTATTTTTATTAATATTAGAACATGTCTCCTCCCATGTAAGTTGGTAGGCCCAGCAACATGTTGAGGTTTGTACTTATTTTTATTTGATTTTACTAACAGTTTTAATCTTTATTTAGGCTACAGGACCTAGAGGAAGGATGAGTCCAAGCAGTATGGCTCGAACCGACAGTATTAATAGTTTAGAGTTCCGGACCGCGGGTGTGCCTTTGGGATCGTCTAGGGGTCCTTCTCCACTAACAATTGGCATGGCTGACACCATCCCCCTAGCTGTTGCATTCCATGAAATCATTCACTCCTATTTCCGTGGAACTGACGAGACCAGGTATTTGTCCAAAGATCACAGATTTTCTTTACTCAAATTCTGGAGCATACAGAAAAATTGATTGATTGAAAAAATAACTTTGAGTATTTGAAAAACCTTTTTTCAGGGAACGATACAGGCAACTTTGATTGATAGTAACAACTATTAAGTGTTGTTTGAGACCCTGAGGAGTGTTCTCTATATCAAACTGGAATACCAATAGTTCTACCTATCTTGATATATATTGCTCCCCTAAATCATTCGCCTCTGACAGGGCGGTAATGAACAAAAATTTTAAACATGCTTTACTGTTTTTTTTTTTCAGATGTCAAGTAAAAATGAATGGTGATATGATGTTATCTTTCCCTGCCGGTATTGTCGGTGTTCTAGCCAATAATCCAAACCCAGCTCAACTATCATTCCGTATACGGAACATAAACCGCCTTGAAAACATACTGCCCAATAAACAGTTAATTAATACGTAAGTTTAAACTGACTTTTTCTTAAGTTCATACCATTATCAAATTTAATATTATTTAATCAGTACCTATACTTTTAGTTTAATAGTTTACCTTGATAGAGCTCTGGATTACATCTTTGCTTTTTTAAAATTTCCTGCTGAAAACAATTTACAAAATTTTAAATCCAGAAATTAACTCTTTAGCAAAAAGTATGTGTTAACAATTAACTATACTTGGATATTAAAATGTATCTGACAGCTTTTGTCTTAATCTCTGTAAAAACCAATTGTAGATGTGCCCTTTTTCCAGTTGATTGATATTTTACTGGACTTTCACCAGTTGTTTAGGGCACTTTTAGGTGGAGTTGAAGTGTGAATCTTGTAGGGTTCATGCCCTTACCTCCGTTAAATTTTTCTCACCAAAAAACTCAAAATCGAAAAAATGCATGTGTGCCATTTTATTTCATATGCTCCTATGACGCTGAGCCTTGCTCAATGAAAGTGACATGACTTTTATACCCTCTTTTTATCATATTTTATCAAAATGTCATGCATTTTCAGGATGCAGACTATCCCTGAAAATCAGAGAAAAAGGTAATAAACTCTGTACGCTCAACTAACAGTGGTACAAGGGCATTAATAACAAAAATATGTTTCTAATATTGTTGATATTGTTAAGGTGGTGTAGGGATTTCATTCATTGGCATGCGGTGACAAATAGAATGCAGAATCAGCCAAGACAATATACTTACTTTAATCCTACATTTTAGTGCCATGATATTATCGTAGCCAATGTCTTATGTTGTTCCAGCTTATCTTAATAAATATTTTTATCAGCACAGCCAAATTGGTTTTGTGCCTTTTTTATCGCTATATTTCTCGATGTAAGGTGTTTGCCTGTTGGCCCACTATCTACTAACTGTACACAATTTCAGGTATTTTTAACTACCTGTTCCGAACCATTTTGAGGTTTCATTATTTGTCCTCATCGATCATGCCATAGTCATCTTTATTTAACATCTCAAAATACAATTACATGTAGATTTTTTACCGCCATTTCATGAAGTTGATGTCACCCATGGAAATTAGATAGCATTGCTAGGCTTGCACAGTTTAAAAGAAATGTTTTGGCAATAAAAGTTGTGCCGCTATAATCACCCAGGAAAAATGCACAAAAAATGCAAATTTATTCAAGAACGAATTCCACAATCATTCTGGAGCAATTATCATGGAGGTAATGGGAGTAGCAGTTTGAAATTCAGTAAGTTATCTTTTGGGATCGGAACCATAAATAAATGGGTTCGAGTAGATTAAGTTGTCATTAGAAGTGTCAACTCTCTTGAATAATCTTGTTCTTTCTTTTATTGCAGAGAATCTATTCAGTCTTCTGGTGATAATAGTGTATTTGAGTTTAACATGAGTGCCTTAACTGCTTTACTCAGGAAACAATCAGAACAAAATCCCTCCGCCTCGTATTTCAATGTTGAAATTTTGAAATATCAGGTAAAATCATTTTTCATGCAAAACAATTCTTCTCTGAAAGCAACTTTCCCTCAAAATTTCAGCGCACGTACATGCATCAGCAGATAAATTGCTAATTTCCCCAGAGCTTAAAATTAAGCCAAACTCCTAGAATGAGTCTGTTGCGCAAAAGAGAAATATGTATTCAACAGAATGGACTCAAAAAATTACATTGAGTACATCAAAAATGTCTAAAGTACGCTATGAAATGCACAATTTATTTTGTCATGCATATCACAATTTTCAAATTAATTGCAAACAATTGCTTATTTTCCTTGGTCGCCAGCAATTAGGTTTGCACGGCGAGAGATCTTAGAGAACCCAACTTAAATAAAAAGATAATCTTGTTAATGGTTATCAGCTTTTCTCACTCATAGTTTCAATTTTTCCAAAGTATTCTATGCTGCCTTTTTTCTAAAAGATGCTTTTCTCTTCTAATTTTCGTAGATCAAAGCCAAAAGTGGTGCTGGTTCATGCCCTTTCCAATTAGTCGCCTATTGGAAGTGTGAACAAAATCAAACTGACTTGAAAGTAGATTATAAGTACAATAGCCATGCAATGGCTAATCCGTCTCCCTTGCTAAATCTTACCATTGCTGTCCCTGTTGATGGTGGTGTTCAAAATGTACAGTCCAAACCAGCAGCACAGTGGTAAGCTTTGTTCATTCTATCTTTTAAGCACATTTTTATCCCTGCTCGGGGAGCCATTTCTGCAAGCCGATTTTATCCACATCAATGAAGCATACTCAACATGCGAATCCTGCGTCATTTGATAAACAGTCTCAAATTTGAAATTACATAACCAACAAATGCCCTGCAACACATGTTAGTCATTGATTTAAACATAACCCTCAAATTGAGTTTTCAATTGTGAGCTCTAAATCCGCTGCTGCCGCCAAAACGCTGACAGCTAATCACACGGCTTGTAGTGATTGGTTGATCACTTCTTGCTATAACAACAACGTCGCACCATTTATATTATCAATAAATGAGACAAAAAATAACTATAACAGACCTATCAATTTAAAAACAGTCTGGCTGCAAGGATATTTCCTTTGTGATTTTCCTACTTATTGGGCCGTCATTCTCACGAGGGACTGCTCGTCCAATGTAATGTTTTTTTGTTGTTGCTTAATCTCTCCCCTCACACATAACTTCCTACTTGAACTCCTCCTTTTGAATCCTAGAAAGGATTAGACTTTCCAGCCTCGTTTCATGGGGGAAATAAAAGTCAAACACAAGAGCTGAGAAATTTAGGTAATTTTCTCATCAAATATCTTGCTGAAAAGCGGTGAAAATGTACAGTCTAAGGTCTTAGGTGGTAGTTTTTAAGATGATATGCATGATGATCTTTTTGAGATTTTTTATTTTACCAAAAGCTTATGTATTCCAAAGGTGGGCATATGCAAGGCGGGGCACTAAACCCAGTCTTACGTATCCCTCCTCCCCCGTGTGAAGCATTATACTGCAGCTTCAGACTAGCCCCTCCTCCAGATACGCTCTGGAATATTACATGAAGAGCCTTTTTAACCTCGTAGGAGGAAAACAATTTGCCGACAATTTTTTTTAATTACTAGCTGTCCTAGGCTTATGAGCAAGCCTCCTTTGTAAGCCAAAGGGTCTCTGTTTATGAAGAATTGATATGTCAGAGTTGCAAGTAGCTGATTTCCAAACAAAAGTTTTTAACATTTTAGATTCCTGCCGTACAAATTGTGCCACAAAGAGACAATTTTCCAGGATCTCTTCTATTAATAATAATTACTTCATCTTTTATTTCATCAAAATCTGTCTCATCTTAGGTTGTGGCTGCTGAAGATGTCTTTTGTCAGGATTCTGTTATTTTATCTGTTTTCTATTTTTGAACTAGGATACCAGATAGTCAACGTGCGTTATGGAAGTTTACCGAGTTATCTCAACACACAGAAAATCATGGTTTTGGATCCCTCCGGGCCAGATTTGAAGTTAGTAATGGTCCAAGTTCTCAGAGTACTATAGCAACGCAATTCAATTGTGAAGGCACAACTTTATCCGGGGCTGATTTTGAATTGGTTGGGTCCGGCTACAGATTGTCCCTTGTAAAAAGAAGATTCGTCTCAGGTAATAGACGTGTGTTTATTTACAGTTTAAAGGCGCAGGTACCTTATCTCTTGGAAATGCCAATAATCACATTTCTTTCACAAGATCACATTTTTTACGGGTGAGAAATGCTAATATTTTGAAGTTCCTTGGTTAAAGAAACAACTTAAGATGATCTCTTTTTTATTTTTGGAGGCATAGTGTCATCCGCTAATGTTACTGTGTCTCAAAATATATCAAGAGATCAACTGAAGTTGTTTTTTCAACTGAGGAATTTTAAACCATTAGTATTTTTCAGTTCGAAAAATGTGATCGTTTCAACACTGTATTGTCGAAACAAGCCTTGAACTAACTGAAACTTTTACTGGAGGATTTGCCTATCATAAGGTTTCATTTTAGGCAGATTCTAACGAAATTCCTGAGTTCTCCCAAAGTGTGGCACTTTTTTCTTTTTTTGTGGCTGATTTAAGATAAACCTTTACATTCTACTCACTAGCAAACGATAGAAAGTAGTTAAATTTATGCTAAGGAGTAAAAAGATTGGCAAGTCTATTTATCTTTTGTATGTCCGCTATTACATATATATGCTTTACATGTTTATTGTTTCAGGAAAATATATTTGTGATGGGGACCCAGATGTCAAAAGTAGATATGCAGCGCCTCCAACATCGTATTGCTAACAGCTTCGAAAATCCATTTATTTTTTCTCTTTCCTTATCACAATTATAACAGTATGTGCAATCTTCATTTTACTCCCACCTCTGTTTCCCTTTTGAGCTTTTCTCGCCTTCAAGAAAAGTAAAATATTGTTATGGAACTGAATCAGTCTCAGCTTTGGTACGTTAAGTTGACACTTGGAAACCACTGTCATGAATTACCAACATTATCTTTGCACCAAGATGAACATTTTTCTCAAATTTCTGTCGGCTTACTGACAGAGACAGCGGTTACTTAGTCCTTTTCTATTTAACTTTGATCAATTTATTTTTGTAAATTTTAACGCTTATAGTTTGTTACGTTTTATTTTTTGTTTTTCTTTCAAAAATTATAGATGCAGTGTCAACTTAGCTGCCATTGCAGTGTTATTAGTTTTAATGTTTTACCATCCTGTTAAGACTCTTTAGTCAGATGCATTTGGCAAATAGTTTTTTAAGTTTATTTACTCTGTACCCGTTTCCCTCTTCTCAACCATTTTAGTATGTAAATTTTAAACAATACAGAAATCCTTGTTATGTAATTTTTGCAAAGTATATATCATGCTTGGCACAATTTTATATATTTTAGTTAAATTTTTTACATTATTCTGTAATATTACATGTTGTTAGCCAATTTCATAAAACCTTCCAAAAATATTGCTCGAGTTAAAGTTTGCTGTCTATAAATAATCAGCCCTTGCCCTCCAACCTCGAGTCTAAATTAAATTGATCAAGTATATACTTCCTGTTACTGATCATCTGGTTTGTTATCAGATCTTTATAATACCTTACTTTCCATCTGATATCACAAGCTGTGTATTTTATTTTGATGTAAAATTCTAAAAATATGTATTATCGGAATGATGAAGGTTTTGGCGTGGTGTTTGTCAGAGACAAAAAATGAGCTTTGACAACTCCAGAAAAGCGATGTATTTTATTTGTCTACAGTTGAAATGATATAAGTAAAATTATGTAACTTCTTTTAAAGAAGTGTCTCCTTAATCAACGATTTGACTGTTTTCAAGGGTCACATTTAGATTGATAGTGCATCCAGAAAGATAATGATCAAAAAATTTCTTAGAGCTTTTTAGTTGAAGTACACCTGTGCTTTGAATGATGGAATGTTACTTGCATGCTTGGACAAAACGTTGGCCTTGAAAATTTTAAAAGAAGTGAAAATTTGTTGTAGGTATTACTTTATTAAGGATGAATACATTTGATTCCTCTCACATGTTGTTCTTCTAAAATACCAAGCCATTTGACCAAAAAATAAGAAAAAATTGATGGATGGAGAAAAACTGTAATCTGTGTACTGGAAGGAAGGCTTGCGTCAGATTAATGTAACCAGACAATTATTGGATACATTTTTTGAAGACAGTAATCTTCAGATCTTTAAATTTGGTAACTGAAAAAGTTGTAAAATTTTAACGTTTTTACAATTTCTTGTTCTTACCATTTTGCTTTGTAATTAAAATAGTGATACAATTTTTTACTCAGCATTTTTAAAATTTTTCGTCTTTCCCTGATAGTGCTTGACTTTCCTGTTAGCGTATGTGCATTAGGGTTGCAGTAGTACCGGTGCATAGCTTGAGTGATGCCTTGAACAGTGACTGCGGAAAGTGGAGCAGAGAGCTTGGGACTCGCACCTGACGCATACACTGTCGCCAGTTGACACACTAGTCCTGGTAGCTCGGAAAAAAACAGTCTCAAAAATTTTCCTCAGTGGTGCATCAGTAATATTCCGACTCTAATGCTTTCTATGATTGTCAGTCACTCACGAAACAAAAAGTTGCCTCCGATGTCTATGAAGTTTAGATCACACAAATGTGGTTCAGTCTCATGTTCTGTAGGTAAGGGTCCGTCTTGTCTCCTATCATCTACGGCAGAGAACACTAAGTATGGCAAGAATGAAAACATGTTTGATATTTTCATGTGATTTTCATAGAAAACACATTAGACACTGTGTTAATTTCCAGTATATTGAAAATGAGAATTAGCCCTCATAATTTTTACTACACTTTACAGGCTACATTAGAATCAATACATTCAAAGTTCTCTCTCAGAAAAAACCAAAATTACTTTAGGTCAATTTGCTAGCTGCCAAAAAACTTTGGCAAGTAACTAGAATTTTCAGTAGGTATACGATTTTCATTTCAAAAATTACAAGTACCTATTGTTACACTAATGGAGAAAGAAAAACTTTGTATTTGACGCAGATAATTTTCAAACTATTTTGTTTCATTTCAAATATCCAATCAGAGTTAACGCAGATAATTTGCAAACTTTTCTGTTCCATTTCTAATGTATAATCAGAGTTGAGCGTATATCGTTTTTTTCTCATGAGCAGGACTTATAATTTGTTTTTAAATCAATGCAAATCAAAAATACCAATATCTTAATAGCCTTGGACGGGGTCAGGAAAAAATCCGTATCTGTTTTGGATGGGTAACTCTTAACAGTTTGGAGCAGAAACGAATCTAGGAAAACTTTCACCGACTTTAGAAAAGGAATGATTTTCTAAGTGAGGCTTCAGTTACTCCCATGCTGAGGGAAAACGCCGCATAAGCCTTCAGACGTTGCAAAGTTTCCTCCGATAAAAACCAAATTTACTGGGATAATTCTGAAAATTATTCTCCAAAATTTTCAGACAATTCTGTACGCAATTTAATCTAAAATATCTGAAAATTTCAAGGAAAAATATGCATGAATGTCGTCAAAAATACATGTTTTATCCGGGGAAATTTGGCAACTCTCGGATGTTTATACGATGTTCTTCCTTAGCACAGCAGAGTGCCTCACACGCAAATCCAAAAAATTTCTAAAAATTTTGGAGACTCCTAGTTCTCCTCATTTCCTTACCATCATCATCAAGTATCCTTCGGCTGTAGACTCCACATGTCTCCATAATTCACGGAATCTAATGAGCTATCCTGAGTTTGATAATTTGCTAATTTTGAGATTTTTTATGGTGGTTGGCCACTTCGTTTATTGAAATAGTGAATTGGACCAATATTATTAAGTACTTGGTCACTCCAGATATCACCTGCAAAAAGTGGACTCATTTGGTAAATGATAGGGATACACCCGCAAAAGACTTCGATACGTAGCAAATACCCTCTCCCGTCCGTCTTTCATTCCACCTCCCTTTTCAGGGAAATCCATGAAAATTCCAGGACATGACTCCAACAGAAAGAAAATACTCCCCCCCCCTCCCTTGCTGCTACCTTACCTAATTAAGGAGCTCGACGGACAGTTTTGCTACTTCGAGGAATGCGTGTTTAAAGTTGTGGAATGAAACATGGATCCTTATGACGGAAAGAAAGTTCAAAGTGACTTTTTGATGCTTAAAAATCAGAATTTGGGAGTAAATTGTTCTCAGAATATGCATCAAGACTAGTTTTAACTACTGGAAATCATCAATATCTCAATTTTTTTCAGAAACTGCACTCATGCGCCTTGTCCTCCAAGCCCCTCAATTCTATCTGGCTTTATGTATCCTCGGGAAAACATTATGTTGATAGAACTGGGTTTACGTGTGCGCAATCGAGAAGCGATAATCTTTCCGCATTTTGTACCTGAGCCTTGACGAGGCTGGGTCCAGTTGTACATCGACAAAGAAGAATTATTCTAGCTGGAGCGCAATTCAACTATGCATTCACGACTGCAAAAATGTCGAAGGAAATCGACAAGCCCAGCGCTCATGAAGGCTATTTCAATTGTAATCTTCCGTCACATTCTTACGGCGCAATGATACAACTATTTTAACTCTCCGGAATGCGTAAGGTATCACGCCGCATTTGAAAGCGTTTTCAAAAACAGCCAAGTTCCGATACCCGGATTATCGTTTTGCATAGTTCATATTATTTTGTCATATTCCGTACCACTTGTTTATTCTTAATCCTCGTATAAAAACCACCCATTTGCTAAATACAATTCTAGCTGAAGCGCACTTAAGTATGCATTGATGGACATCGGAACTAGAGTCCCTTTATACCCAGAGTTACGACAACTCACTTTTGGTTGGGCCAGGATTGGGCTGAAAGTGGCCTAAAAAAAAATCCAATTCTGATTGGTTCTCGCTCATGGAGGCCGAAACTAGTGCACCAAGATGGCGGTACCTCGAATGTGCACAAGAATAATGAAAATATTACCTAATTGTGGTTTATCAAGAGTAAATTGTTATTTCCATCGGTCTAAAATGAAAATAGATTAAGAAATTATTCACAAACCAATCTAATTTTCGTTTTAATTGATCAATTTGTTGATGTTGTTGTTTTTGTGTGACAGACATCGCAGGATTCCTGATCCTTATCCCTCAATATCGTTCGTTTGAGTGCACTAGTTTCGGCCTCCATGGCCAGCCAAGGTCGGCTGCCAGTCAGCTGATAATCGAGTTGTCGTTACTCTGGGTATAAAGGGACTCTAATCGGAACTGAGGCACTCATATCAACGTTCATACACCCTAGAATGAATAACGACCATTGGTAAAACTTACACTTCTTTCAGTGTTGTGGGAGGAATTTTTTAAAATTTTCCGTTATGTGCCCTTTTTCCGGAAATGGACCGGTGGTTATAGGTTTTGGCTTCCAAAGCTAAATTTTCAAGACTTTAACGAGTTTCTAAACGAAAATAAATCATAATTTCGATTGCGAACGTGCGGGTGAATCATTTTCGATCATCGTTAAAAAAAAAAGACAACAAAACACGTGAAAAAATCGAAAAATTAAAACCCACAAGAGACCATTAAAAATTGAATTATTAATAGTTACAGAATTTCACGTGTCACCGGTAAAACGCGTAGACAATCACTGCAACCCGATGATATTGCATTGTTTAGTAGAATCAGTGCGATGCATCTGTAATGAGGGATCCTTACTTATATCAGTACACATCACCTGCCTGCCTGCGCCCTGCGCGCTATCTCCTCAACGTCGCGTCGCGGCGACCGTACCCAGGGGCGAAAATATGAAATACACCTGACTTACAATTAGCCTCACAAAACTTGGTCTCTTAGCTCCAAAAATTGATCAATTAAGCTGAAACTCGGGACATAGGTACATTACGATGCGAGGAATTCGTTACTGCCATTTCCGGAAAAAGGGCACATATACGCGTATGTGCCCCTTTTCCGGAGTGCTCCTCAATTGTTGTTGAAAAAAGCTGTAATCCCCTCTGAAATATAATCCCAGGTGCTGTGACCAGCACAAGTGATTCAACATGGTACATAATTGTCATAAAAAAAAACCGCGTAATTCATGCAGATTAAAATATAGGTACTAGTTCAAAATTATACTTTTTCATAAATCGATGGTCGAATTTCAAAATCACGTAGGTATTCCATAGTGATGCTTCAACATTTCCAATCCTATTTTATTTTCCCGAAGAGCAGCCATCCTCATAGCTTGAAATCTGTATACTGTGCAGACTAGGTAAGTATATTCCGCTGACAGAGGAGCAAAGTAAAATAATTTTTCAAGAAATTACTTTGACTGGGTTTCACAGGAAGTATGAAGCATGAAAGCAAGTCTGCAACGTCGCAAACAGAGAAAATTGGTTTCATAATTAAATTTGGCCATCGAAACTTAGTTGTTGTGGTGGGAAATAACGAACGATTGTCTACTAGTAGTGGCATGCCGCATCGTTGCGCTGCTGCCCGCGCAAAACTAAAACGCCTTCATTTTTTAAGGAGGCAACACTGACACCCGTAAAGCACGAATAGTTTCATCCCAGGCGTTGTTATCAATGTAGCGCGTGCCGTGCTGATTCGTAGATGCATATCTCTCGTATAATATTAATTTAATGCTTCTTTAAGCTAACTACGCGCCTATGTCAAATAGTGCACCCCGATGAAAATAAAGTCATACATTTAAATTATGTATTCTGGCAACAAAAAGACGAAGTGGGCCGATTCACACCAAATCAACTACCACATTCATGTTACCTCATCGGAATTTTCCGTAGAATAAATTAAATGAGGTACATGAACCTCTTAATTCAACTTATATGTCAGAGATAAATGTTTTATGCTCTCATTACTTAATAATACCTACTTTCCACGTTCCGTGGATTGAAAAAACCTCAGTCCAGTCGAGCTAGATCGACGCTTGATTTGATTTCTATCCGAAGGAGCACAAATTGCAATAAGTAGCAATTACATGGTAAAATTATTGCAATTCAGTGGCAAAATACATGAAACTCAGTGGAGTTTCGTGTATTTTGCCTAGCTCCTAATGGTCTTTAAATGGTAAAACATTTTATTCATATAAAATTGCAATGTGATTTCAATGTTTTCGTTGCCCTGTGCTAGGTATTTGGAGTGTAGGTATGTATTTGGGCATTTACACAAATTTCTCGGTGAACTGAATTTTTCTTGTTAAAAACACGTAAGTATAGCATGTACATGAAGAAACAGAAAAGTTTTGCTATATTATTGCAATCGGTGCAAAAGTAAAGAAGGCTGTATCAACATAGCTAGAATATGTTTCTAGCAAT